TTTAGGTCTTAAGTTTTAGTAATTACTCAGCTTGTGCCAAATAACAGCATGCTTCACCAGGTCTGCCTGCATTTTCAACAAAAATACATTGCCTAAGAGTAAATTAAATGGAGAATTTTCGAGAATGAGGCTGAGGGGGTGGTGAAGGGCTTTGGATTTCATTTTGAGTGGGGTACTAAGATTTTTTAACTCATTCATGCAGTGCTAAAGTATTAAGCACCTACAGATGAGGGCAGTGATGGTTCAGTGGTAGAATTCTCATCTTCCATGCAGAAGACACTGGTTCAATTCCCAGCCAATATACTCGGCATAATCACCACCTCCATCTGTCAGTGGAGGCTTGCCATCATATTGCCCAGGTTTCAACAGACTTCCAGATCAAGACATACTATATACAGCTTTAAAAATTAAATAAAACCCTTCTGATTACCATTGTCCAACCCCATTGTGCATGGGGTAGTCATGAATCTAGTACCAATTAGAAGGTAGTTAACCATAAGTACATTATGTGTCAAATAATCTAAGCAGTGGAAGCATGGCAGTGAATTTAAGAAAAGAAAATAAAAAACAACATATCTAAACCCTTGCCATCTAGAAATCTACAGTCTAGCTATTGAAGATATTGAACAGAGAAATGATCAGACTTGGGATTCACAGGGACCTGGCTGCACTGGGGTAAAGTCTGCAGCAGGAGGCCGCTGACGTGATCTGTGCAAGAAATGAGGTGCCTTGCACCAGAGTGAGTGCAGAAGGAGAAGCTGGGTTCTAGCTTTGCCTAGAAGGGAATAGCCATGGAATTTTATGATGAATTGCATGTGAATATTGTTTTCCTACACTTTAATTTGAACTCAGGTCATCTTTCATCCAAGCTTAAGCTCTTTTAATTATGCTAAAATACTCAAAGGTAAAGTGAGTGAAATATAGATTGAATCTTATAAAAAATAGCCACTCCTGTCGAACTCCTTAGGGCTTTATCAAAAGAGAGTATCAGTTGATATTGAGTAAAGTTGAAGCCCAGTCTTATGCTTTTTCTGTCTTTGCTCTTTCTCAGAAACTGCATCATTAAGTCTAAAATCAAAGGAAATTTTAATTCTTGGTCACAATGTAGAGCTTTTAACATTCTGTTTTAATAGAAGTGTGTGTGTGTGTGTGTGTGT